AATAAAAAGAAAAACGTGAGATTATTTTGTTGTGATTTTTTCTCTGTCTTACCTTAGTCCTACCATAAAATTAATAACTACTAACATCATAACTCATACCTAAGTATCTCTTACATACATAATTTCAATAATAAATTCCTTAAACATAAGTGTATTAATTTAATATTTCTAAAGAAGAAATTATTATTATTTCAACATAAGTAACTTCTATGAAATTATACGATTAGTATATCATGATTAAATAAGCACCAATTAAGCATAATTAATAGTATTATTGCAATTTTTTTTTTTTTGTTGCCTCTAAATTATATAAAAACGATTTTAATGACCTGCTATATTTTAATTTACATATACAGACCGTAATGAAGATACCCATTATTTTTCCCTTATTATGGTCACGAATTGGCAATAAGAATGATTACAATTATATAATAGTATAATATTTCAAATAAGGGGCGATGTAAAATATAATTTTTTTATAAATTAATTTGTCCGAACTGTGGTTTCGTTTCGTTTATTTTATGATGATATGAAATAACAGTATCTGAAGTACAGAATACATGTAAATAACAGTTATACAATTTGAGCAACGAGCAGTACAATTAAATGAACACTTGTATGATTTGTAAAACGGGGGTTGGTCCGCTGTTAGGCAGACAGGCGGCATCCCCCTAGTACATACATAAGTAACTGAGCTACACATAAAATCTATGAAAAAACAATATATTAAATTTTCTAATACTAAACAATATTCCTATGTGTAGCGATAGAATACTTATCCGAGAGTTTAAATGCTATTATTATTGATATAATGATGAGTGCTAAATAAAATGGTGTAAAGAATAGTACTATATAAAATAATCCTCTCAGTAGTCAATCCAAGACCTGAATATTTTGAACGATTTATCGATTTAACAAGATATTTTCATACAATTGTTATTTAAAGTATTCCTCAAAAACTATATTATGAATGAGATCTCGAAATCGGAATCATATTTTATATTACAAATAATCCTAATAATTCATTTCCTTTATATTTTTATTCATTCTACTTAAAGTTTTTTGCTTTTTTAAATATAATTAAATACATCACATTACGTGAAGAAGTCGTATTCTTCTCCGGAGCTATTTTACATATCTCTGCTAACAGCCGTAACGGCAACGGCTTATCTGACTAGTAAGTCTGCATAAGTATGAATTTGCTAAGAGTAGCATAAAGGTGACCCGACCCGCATAGCTTGAATGCAGTTGGAGGGTTATGCTTTAGGGATTATAATAATACATAGTGTTGCCCAAAATCGGCCAGGACTGATAAAAAAAAATCGATTTTAAAATAAAAATTAAGGCAAAAAGTCATGAGTGTCTGTGGCTGTAGCGCTCTTACTCATCCTCCGCTGGTTTTAAATACCAGTGAAGTGGCTGAGGGAGAAGCGTAGAGATCTCCTAATCCTCCCTTTTCCCTCCACATGCGGAGGGGACAGGATTGGTTCGGAGATCACCTGGCAAATTGTATGTTTTATATAAGATGTTTGTTTTACTTTTATCTCTATTTTTATTTACTTATGTGTATATATATATTTTTTCTTTTCTCTTTTGTTCTTTTTTCTTATTCTTTTGTTATTACTTTATTTATTTATATTTTTGTATATACGGTATGAATGTACTCTCTGAACTCTATTATAAGTGTCATTAACTGTGACAAATTGTAATATTTCTGAATAAAGTGTTTAATAGTTAAAAAAAAGGCAAAATAGTTACTTATACTTCACAATCTTATTTACTATATGTTAATAATTGGTACAACCAACATAATTTTACACTTAACTTCTCTAATTTTTAATTCGGGCTTAGTTAGATTTCTCCCATCTAAAAAATTACAGTAATATATCTATAGTAATAAGTTAATAAGTAACTATGAGACTCTTGCGTAAGACCAAGATTGAGTTTGCAAGACCAAGACTCTTCTCAGTCTCTCATTTGGGGAACACTAATAATATCCTGCTATAATAATTTAATTTTTTATGGAGGTAATAAAAACATAAAATAAATTAGAGTAATAACTAATAATTATATGTACATTTTTTAAATATTACCAGAAAATATTTTCTGACAGAGTAGTTGATTTATAAGTCACGCTTTCAAAATAGCACCGGAGATTATATATCACATTTATTTTTTTTTTTAAGCAGATAATTTACTCTGTTGAAATGTTAAGGAATTCAGCTGCACCCATCAACGAAGTGCATTGTAAATAATTGCTTTGGCCAGAGTAAGTGCAGGAGTGCGCTAAAAATAGAAGGAACACACACGGTGATTTACTGAGTGGAATTAGTTTTAAGTCACATAGTCGCCAAGGGCATGGAAGGGTATTTAGAGGAATCGTATATATATTTTTCTATAACTATGTCCTCTCATCGTATTAAGTTTTGAAATATGACAGTCGCCCATTAGCGTGATACCTAACAATGACAGCTGTTGAGATTCTTATACCGTGAAGAATAAAAGACCTTGATGTATATGGAATCGAGCCAAACGTAAACAGATTCCAACATCAAGTGATTCTAAATTAATTCTACGATCAGGAAGGGACTGAATGTTCGTAAATGTCAAGCTTTCAATTTCTAACACAATAATGACTTGTGGTGATTCGAGAATCACGATATTATTATTCTGAAAGAACGAAAAAATGCTAATAAAAGCTAAAAACAAATGTTTCAGGAGAATAGGCCAAACTCCAGGAGTGGGTCGCACACAGAAAAATAATAAAAATAAAAAAAAACTCACACGAACTTATCCTATTATCATCCATTTAAACTTTAATGGCTAGTTATTATAGACCATGGTACAGACTCCTTTTTATCAAATTATTAACATCCACCTGAAACTTCGTAAATAGTTTCATCTCATCGTAACCTAAAACTATTTTATTCATTATTTATTAAGAAAACTCTTGGAATTGGGGCGTTTTCAATCTGAAGTAAGGCAATTCTGTCTATTTAATGAAGTGCTAAAAACACGTAAAAACCCATTTCCTTCGTACTTGAATCGTAACATAATTTGATCACCAAATCGATAAAAAAGGTAGCCTAAAAGTATTGGATCGTTTCTCTTATATAACCTCGTTATTTTGGAAATTTGGGAGTGTAGGTCACGTTTACAATTTTTGAAGGCAACTTTTTTTATTGATTTTGTGATCAAATTATCTTATGATCTAAGTTAAAAGGAAATGGGTTTTTACGAGTTATTAGATCCTAATTAAACAGACAACATTTGCCGATGTCTGGATTGAAAACGGCCCAATTCCAAAAGAAATTGTTGTAGGTTACGATGAGATGAAACTATTTGGTATGTTCCAGGTGGATGTTAATAATTCGATAAAAAGTCGTCTGTACCACGGACTATTACAATACCGTAATATTAAAAAACCGTTCGCTTTTGGAGTTATTGGCCAATAAAGTTATACGATAATATCTTTCCGGTGAATAATTTTCAATAAATATATCTAAAAGGCATCGAAGAGAAGACTTTAGCAAAGTTTTATTGCATTCGTTTAGGCGCTACAGTATATACCATACAGGTTATATATATACAGGTTTTTCGGCCGTCATTTTGAAAGGAAAGAGCGGATCGTAATGTCGAGGTAGGAGGATCATCGTCGGGTGAACTCTGTCTTTGATTTCAAATCAGGACAAAACGGTCCAGTATAAAAGAAAAGCCGAGAAAGGCGGACGGACATTTTGTTTTAACATTAGATTTTCGAGTTGTACGTATTCTAAAACGCCAAACCTCAAATTGTGAGAGGGAGGATTTAAGTTTTTTAATTTTCTCGCCAATTATTGAAAATAATTAATCAAGAAAACAAAATTACACAAATAAACAATATTTCCTATATGTATTAGCATTTCCATAATCGAAGTCTCATTTCGAAAATGGTCAAAATAACACAGATGACTTCTAAATATTTTTGGCTTCATCTTTGAAAGGGGCAGTTACCCTTCTAATTTTTTCATATTATCCTTTAATAATGCAAGCTGCCTTTTTAATAAGTCGAATTGGTGCATCTCTAATAGTGTTGCCCAAGAGTCTTGGTCTTGCGCCAGAGTCTCCCAACAGTCTTGCAATTACTTATTAGCTTATTACTGTAATATGGAAAAGTATATTTGTAATACCAATTCTTTACATATATTAACTAAAATTGACAAGTATTAGTAACTATTTTGTCTTAATTTTTATTTTTAAAATCGATTTTTTGTACCAGTCCTGGTGTTGGTCTTGCAACAGTTAGGCGGGCTTGGCCTTGGTCGTGCAAAGTGCAAGACCAAGACCGATTTTGGGCAACGGTAATCTCTAGTGTCTACTTTTAATGTATATACTTCATCTTTGATCCAACTTCATAAATAATCCAATAATCTAGTATTGCCAGGTCTGAAAATCTTTGCGGCCAACTAATTAAACCACCACAACCAATCCACCTGTTAGGAAATGTTTCATCCCCATGTTTGAAAAATGTTAGTAGAAGCTAATATTTATAATCAAATAATATTAATGGTCATATACCGACTATTATTTTGATTATTTTATTTGAAAAGATTGATGAAGAGTTAAATATACTTCATATGCAGTTCTCCCTCTATTAGTATTCATTATAGAAGTGATTTCCAAAATCCCTATAAAGTTCTTGAATTCACAATAGTACTTGACACTCTCTCAAGAGCTGATAATCTCAGCATTCTCGATCCCTAATATCCCTAAATCAAGGGTGAGGTACCAAACTTATAGAGACTGATTGTGCTCCAGGAAGGTCTCTCGAAACTCGTACACGGTTGTTGTTACAGAATAGACAAATTATTTGCAACGTTCAAATACGGGCCCCAGAGTTTTCAGTAAAATTCATTAGGATAAACTCTTGAATAGCTAGAGGTCAAATGGCACAGTACAAGGGCAGAAATAATTCTTGTCCGAGCATGGATTAGTGGGAGTTGGCGTGGGTGTTAAGTAGATCACCCGATCCCACGCCAGAACCAGATTCCGTTTCCTGGGTGGCATAGTTTATTAAAATGAAGATGTGCCTGGGGACGAAAACTGATTTAAGATCTTAATAAAAAAAATCATATATTATAATTAGCTATTAATTAATATGAGGTCGTGATGGCCGAGCGTGTTAGAGCGTTGTCGGTTTTGACATTCTCGTACTTAACGCCACCGCATAGTGGGTCGAGTAAGGGAAAACTCGCGACATAGGTTGAATCAATATTTTTTTTAAATTGAACTATTCAATAAAAACAGTGAAAATCGCATATTGTACCAACTGAAAATATTCTCGGAAACTCCGCCAACACAAGGTATCAATAAAACAGTTTATCTAATTTTTGGATTTCTAAAAAAAAAAAAAAAGATTTAGATAGATTCAAATAGATGTAGCGAGTTTTACCTTACTCGTCCCATTGTGCGTCAGTTCGAATCCGGCCTGGGTGGAGTTGACTTTAATTTCGTGGCGGACTCACGGAATGAAACTTGACCCTCCAACTTTGGTTAGAATAGGTTTGGTTTTACTTCTATAACAACCCCTCCGTACGTCAGAAATAGTGAGTAGGAGGAAAATCCATTAAATATATATATTTAAGACTTTAACATTTCGGGGTATCATCACTAAATATCCATAAAAAAATTTAGTTGACTTGTTTCTAGGGAAACATGTTAATGAAAATTCGATTCAAATTACAATACGTTCTAATTTTATTTTTTTGTATATTTGATGAAATTTACAACGGTATAAAAATACAACCAGTAAATATGCACACATTAGAAATAATGACATGAGAAGACTTGAAGAAATACCTACCCAGTCATAGCACTCCCTATTATTTTCTAGGTAAGAAGATCACGATGCCATCTTCTTTTCAGACGCCTAGGGGGATTATCAGGAATCAAGGAAGAAGCAAGGCTGGAAACAAGTGGATTCGGATGGGAATGGAGTTTATCATGAAAGGATATGTATCTGGCTAGGACTAAATCAGCGTTCGAATTATACTTATTCTGAAACGTAAAATCCCAAATTTTGAGGGGAATTAACAAAAAAATTTTTTTGATTTTTTGGACGATTCAACGATGAATACATGGTTCATTATTGAAAATAATTATAAGAAATATTCACGCACTGAGTTCTTGCGTTTCAAATCAGAGATAACAATAACAAATCAGAGAAAATAACAAATGGTTTTTATATATTTCAAAAAACACGAATTTTAAATATTTCCTCTAAAAAAAAAAAATAATAAACCGTTCGTAAGAGTAACTACAACATTCCCTTGACAAGTTTTATCTATAATTATTATAAAGTAAAAGACTGATAATTAATCATGGCCATACTAATCGCGATTTGACAATAACAAGAGTTAATAAAAATATTTAATTGTTCGACTTGCAACTCCATCGAGTACCCATTGCAAATTACACTAAAATGCAGCAAATATAATAAACTCTGGAACGAATACCCCCTCATCTAGTGTTGCCCAAATGCGAGACCTAGACGGGTCTTGGTCTTGCAAACTCATTCTTGGTCTAGTCTTGGTCTCGCGCAAGACTCTCGTAACTGTCTTGCACTTACCTATTAGCTGATTACTAGACAAATTTTACTGTATTTTTTTAGATATGAGAAACCTAACTAAGTCTGAATGAAAACTTAGAAGAGTTAAATGCAAAAGTTTATTGGTAATACCAATTCATTACATATAGCAACTAAAATGGTCAAGTATTAGTAATTATTTTGCCTCAAAAAATAATTACTAATTTTTATTCAAAAAATAGATTTTTTTTACCAGACTTGGTCTTGGTCTTGCAACAGATAGGAGGTGTTGGTCTTGGTCTTGCAAAGTGCAAGACCAAGACCGATTTTGGGCAACACTACTCTTATCCAAAACAATAGCGATTTCCTCCAAGGACTAGCAGATATAGATAGGGATACCATTCAGTCTCTGTGTAAATTTATAGAAGAATCCTATATAAACTTAATAAAATGAAATAAAATAAATAATAATCTAATAGATATATAGATCTTTTTTTTTCCCACGAACCGGCCAGCAAGGACTACGCGAATATCATTTCCGTTTCCTCTTTACTCCCTCAGCCTTCCTCTTACTCCAATACTCTCTCATCCTCCTGGACTGTTCCTCTCGCTCTTCCTCAGTCCATTTTCTTCCTTGCTTCTCCCTCCCACCTACAAGAACCCCAACCCCTTTCAGTTGTTCCCTAAAAAGCTCTCTATCCAGGCTATCTTCATCCGTAATTTTTAGCCTTTCTAGTTCCTCTTTTATTTGTTTAACATATGCCCGCATACTTTTATAGCTGCAAACAATGTCAAAAATTTTCTTGCCCATTCTTTTATAATATAACAACAGTGTAGGACTTCAATGGAAGTCATGGGCCAACAAATAAAAAAATAAAATTATAATAAAATAAATGAATAAATATCTGACATACCTTTCACTCTTGTCGACAGGTTTGAGCCCCTCGTCCGAATCCCTGACTCCTTCCTCCGAAAGCGGCTCAGCCGATATTCCCTGGGCCCTTCGGCGCCTTGTCTCTCCCTTCCTGTAGACGGTATTGTTGTTCTGATTGATGTGGTAGGGTATGACCGACTGGAACTTGTCCAGGAGGGACTTCAGCTCCAGTATTTCTAGGTCCTTCTGCCGCTCTAAAGCTTCAAGCTCGAGCTGCTTGGCTCTGAGGGCGGCCTCCAGGAACGTCACCCTCGCCTCGAGGGCTTCCATGGGCGCGCTCCGAATCCCTGGGCTCGTCATATCTGAAAATAAATACAATGAAGATTAGGATAACTTCATCGAAATATCAATATAGCAAGCATAAAAGTTTGGAAAAACAATTATTTAAATATACTTTAAAAAATCACAAAAATAAAATAAAATAAACGCGTGAATGGCAGAAATTTTGGTCTTATTTTCATCTTATTATTGATTGAAAAATATTAAAAAGGAATATATTGTTTCATGAATGCTAAACTAAGAAATGTTATCAAAATTTAAAAGCGTTGCAAATGATTTCACAACGGTTTATTATTTTCAGACAGTTTCATATAGAGGAAAATTTGTTCACTAAGATTGAGTCGTTTTATAAATGTTTATTCAATATATATTTTTTATTAAGCTATGTAATCAATCACAAATCTTCCGGTAGATTTATAGTTTGGGGCACAAAAAAAAAAATAAAGGTGAAAAATCTCAAAGAGAAATGTGTAGCATATTCCAAAAATTCTCTGCAACTAATAGTACGATTTCAATGATTTTTTTTTTTTTTTTTTGGGAAACAAATCTAAATTAAAAATTATCACACAATTACACATATGCATACTTCCTGAGCTGGAGGCGTTGGGATCCCAAATAAAAAAAACTCGAAAGTTTATATTATGTAATCAGCATAATTATTGTAAAATATATACAATATACAATATATTATTTTTATTTTATCTATGGATTATGGGTTTATTTGAAAATATGTTAATAAATCAATTAAATATATTATATATTTTTATTTGTATTTAAAGGATTGAGACAGTAAGATGAACTCAAAATTTTCGCGATGCTTCAAATTTGGCTTGGGAAAAATTTGATGATAAAATCTTCACTTAAACATGGAAGAATGGACATGAATGAAACATATAATCCTAGGATACGTAGCAACATATAATTATATTTTAATATGAATTAAAATGTCAATAATAGGGTTATGCTTTTAATACTATAATACTTTAGGCTATTTTATTTTTTTATTGTACATGGTGTTTGATTATTTTTTTACTTTTGTTAATTTTATATTTTCTGTATATATGGTGTCTACGTGATAGATTATTATATTTCCAAATAAATAAATAAAAAAATAAATTAAAAAAATAGGGTTATAGAGCGTGTAAAATACTTTCGTACCTATTTCTAGACACCTTAGGTTAGCCATCTAATCTACTTTTACTATTTTTTTAATTGATTTATTTTAGATATTTTATTCATTCAAGTAAATAATTGTTATACATTTTTATTTTATTTTTGTTGCTCGAAATATTAGAGAGAGCGAAACGATATTCCCGCCCCTCTCTATTTTTATTGGGGGCGAAGTCTGTGTCTATGATTTCAAGTACTATTTAAGAAATATTTTCTAATGGTTAGAACACAAGAATAAGTAGTATAAAGTAAGTATAAAATGGTATTAATAAAACACTGCAGGAGGAATAATAAATGTTTGAATCACATTCAGGCTACCTAGGTCCACTATAAGTAGCGACGTATACGAGTTCCACTTCAACTGTAAATAATAGTTTTCGTTCGTGAAAGCACAGCAAAGAACATAAAAGTAATAAATGCGTACCTTAAGTGAAACTAAAGACAATAAATTAACCGCATTCAGCAAATTTGTACTATCGTTTGTCATGTACCAAATAAAGGAAAAAAACATTAGCAATACCCAAGACAAACGACACAACACCGACAGGGATTACAATGCCCGACCTCCAAGACGATAGGCGCGCCTCGAGTTACTGTATTGCGTCTTTAAAAATATTTATTGGCAATGCCATTCCTGAGAGGGGCTGAAATACTGTCCATGCGTACACAACCCGGGTGCGCACAAACCCACGCATGCCATTTGTTTATATGTCCGTTTGTTCTTTTCCAAGAGACGTTTCTCTTTGTGCCAAACGGAGTGATATATTATTTTATGAATACCTAGTAGTGGCATACAATTATTTTAATGACATTCTTATAAGTCTTGTAACAATTAATTTTTAATCACAAAGAATTAAAGAGCGTCTTTTAAGCATAGAATTGAGATAAATAATAAGCTACGGAGCATATTAAAGAGAAATAATATGTAATTCCTAACAATAAAAAATACATATCTTGTTCTCAGAAAATATGATTGGAAATGTACGTCTTAAGTCAAAGTAGATCCAAATAAAAAAAGAGACAGTATAATAATAATAAATTTATTTATTGAGCAATTTTACAAATGCCTTAGCATATTTTGTAAATGTGATGTTCGTTTGTGAACCTCCTCTCCGGGATTAGCGTGAATGCGTGATTGGAGAAACCTCCCAGTGAAGGCACTCCTAACGTGACTTAATGCAGCAGGTCTCTGCTCCAGAGGCGTTTGAGTATCCTTCGTGGGTTCTGTGGTAGTGTGTCTGTTAGTAATGTTTGTACAAGTGGATTAGAATGTCCAGCTAAGGAGTCATGGAAATTTTCGTAATATTTTTTAATTACATCAGTCACTTGTGGTGTTTGTAGGTCTTTATGAAGTGATTTATTGGTTATGTAGAAGGAACAATGAGTGATATACCGGAGAAACTTAGATTGGAAAATTTGAATAGTCTGTAAGTGTGTTTTTTTTTTTGTATTTTTTAAATAAAAAAAAATAGAGGGGCAAAAAAGTGAAATGCCATTCTCATTCCTACATATGGTGAGTCACAGCAAATAGATTGTTGGTTTTACAGATGGATTTTCCAAAAATAAGATAAATAACAAAAAGCTGAACTGAATATATAATAAATAAATCAAGAAAAAAAGATAAATATTTTATGGGTAAATAATATATAGAAACTCGATGACCCATTCGTATGCTTTACAACAGTAAAGAAAAAAGATGAAAACTTGAGAACTAAAATTAAATATATCGGAAGAAGGATTATTGAGAACCTGTTGTAGAACACGGAATACATTTAAGTTAAAATGCTCAAATAAATTATGGTTACATACAATTTCTATTATTTATTAACGATCGCCGAATTCATTGATAAGTCAATAAAGAAAAAACAGAAGCTACAAATAAATAAAATATCCGGGATACAAAACAAGTTTGAATAAATAGATATAAAAAACTTTATTCGATGCTGGATCATAATAATAATTTATCAATTTGTTGTTATATTATTTGTTATAGAAATAATAAAGATATAGTAGAGGATAATTCTATTAAAAGTTAATATATTTTTCGAAAACAACGATTTATTTGATGAATTAAAACTCTACATCCAAAAATCATTCAATTTATTTAGAAACTTAAATTTTCCACTGTTAGAAATCAGTACTAAAAAAAACATACTTATCTACATAAGAAACGTCACAATTTATTTTTTATACATCAACAGTTATTTTTTATTTTTTTTTATTCCATCACTACAATGCTTTGCTTATAAAATTTATTTAGCGTTCTTTTCTAATTTTATTTAATGATTATTACGTTATTGTTTTAGCCCCAATATTACCCAACTGTTTTCGTAAATACATCCTAAGAGCTATGTATATACTTATTTTATTAATCGTATTTTAGTTATTCTTTATTACAATTAGTCTTTTGGCCAGATTTATTGTTAATTTATATGAAGTATGCTGTTATTCTTAAGGGATTTAGTCTCAGAATAAAGATGATTTTCTATTTTATAGAAATTAATTAATAAATTTTAGTAACTTGTTTCAAAAGTGGATATACTCACTTTCAAAATATCGCTCATCGATTTCACTTAATGTCAGCATTAATCTTAATATAATTTATATTCATAATTAACGAAAATCTTACACTCGGCTTCTTTTAAGCTAATAAGAATTTCGGTAGATCAATCAATTTTTTTTTCTGACTCTACGTTAATTAAAATTTCAGAATAGCCTATTTTTCTAACTATTTAGTAACCTAGATCCGACTAGATTTTAATTATCGCACGCCCTTAATCTAGGATTATTTTAATAACAAGGTTCTTAAACCTTTATACCCGATTCCTATCGACTAAATCGGGTTTTAACTAATTAAGGATACTACCATTAAGCCCATATCAATAACATCCCGAACGGTAAAGAAATATGATTAGCCTAATCAACAGCTTGCTTTCACTTATTAATTAATTATGAATAAGACGACCACATTATAATTTCAATATTTCTGAAAATGTCCCAATATTTTTAACTCAATTTTTTTTTTTTTTTTGTGAAAAAAACCTTTATAATTGCTAATGGTAGTAAAAGACTAACAAAACAAGGATTAACGCTAAGCATAATATAATTTATACATTTCTTTCCAGCTCTCAGGTGGTGTTGTCCAAAATCGGTATTGGTCTTGCACTTTTTGAATAAAAATTAATGCAAATTAGTCACTAATCCTTGTAAATTTTTGTAACTATATTTAAAAAAAAAACTGGTATAACCAATATACTTTAGCACTTTAAACTCTTCTAATTTTTCTATCGGGCTAACTTAGGTTTCTCCTATCTAAGAAAATACAGTAATATCTCTATAGTAATAAGCTAATAGGTAACTGTAAGACTGTTGCGAGACTCTAGCATAAGACCAATACCTCTAGCGTAATAGATAGCCTATTCTATTAAACCAAAGAAAATTTCATGTGGAAGCGACGATTCCCAATTTTAAAACACAAATCCTTACTAGTACTAAAATGAAAATTATTGAAAGAAAATTGGAGGTTTCAAAACTCAGATGATTTTAAAATTCGGTGCATCCAATCTGGATAAATTGTCTTTTAAAGATTTGGACGTGGATATTCTAGGTACTTTGTGATTTAAACCATAAAATAAATATAACATTTTAAAGATAAACATAGCCATATATGACTGTTTGACGAACTAAAAGCAATTGAAAAGGTAAATAGATGAGAATAACTCTATGATTCCTTGAACACTTCGGATAATGTAAAAGAAAAACTTTTTGATATTTTTAATAAATTAAAAAAATTATCTAGATATGATTCCTTGAACACTTCG